TGAGATAATCAAGGCTTAATGTCGTTCCTTGGTTTTTAACAGCCATTTATTGTGGACACGTCTTATAAAGCGCCCAAAAATGCCGTCAGAACTAAGAAGGGAAACAGAACCCAAATTAGCTCAAAACAAATATAAAGCTTTACACAAATAAATATAAGTAAAACAAAGTCATACCTCATTGGCCGCAAATAAACTCCAGAGGAATAAAGATAACTTATACAGCTTTTCTCAGAAAACACGTCTTAAAGCTTTCTGGTGAAACTTCTTGAAGAAACAGGTGCAAAAAAAAATGGTTTCAATCAATCTTTCCCATTGGCAACAATGGGAAATGCGGAACAAAAAACATAGGTTCCTCCTTACATCTTAATGAGCTTTTTAACCAACGTACACAAACAACATAAATTTACGGAAAGGTATTTATTTATTTATGATTGAACTTTTAATTTCAATATTTGTATGTATCAACTGTTGTTTTTAACTAAATATTAGAACATTTAAATGAGTTGACTCTGATGGCAGCTACGGTGATGATTAACCTATAAATATGAAAGAATTAGAATAAAGACAGGAAAGATTGGTGAAAGGTCCTGGAATAAAAGCTGTAAAATGGATGGAATGTTGCAGCTGGATGGAATATGAAGTTTAGATGGAGGAAGTGAATGTGGGACCTTCAGAGAGCTGTGAGGAGACCATCCAGATGATGTCACTGAGTGCTGAGGCCCATGACGCCAGCTTCACTTAGTGAACTCAGCTCCATGGGTTTAGCTCTGTCTTTGTAAACCTAAAGTTATTTTCTTATTAATCAGCAGATTATTCTGATTTAGTTGCAATAATAAAGAATTTCCTGCAAATTCTGATGTGAAAATAGGCAACATTCTTCTTCTCATTACAGCAGATAAGTATATCTGAGGTTTCAACCCCAGAGAATTAACTCAGGTCTATGCTAACATTAGCTGGCATTTCATTGATTGGCATAAGAACAATAACATTATCAGAGAAACAAACAGTATTTCTCCATCTAACTCATGAAAAGTTATCCCTGAGCTCTGATGTCAAAGGTCTGTCGATTCCAACACAACCAGTAACACTCGGATTACGGAGATCTGAATTTCATGTTTAGACATCCAGAATGTTTGTTTTAGATGTAGGAGTAATGTCATTTCAGATATCTGAAAGTAACGACCAAGTGATGCCATTTGGACCAGTAAGAATTACATTTCAGATATCTGAAATGTTCATTTTAGATT